CCTGTCCCATCTACCATGGCATTAGATCCCCACAGGAGCTGGACCCCTATTGTGAACTGCACAGGCGCAGGGATCTAGGTTGCCGCTCCTTAAGAGAATGTAATGCCTGATGATCTGAGGTGGAGCTGAGGCAGTGATGCTAGTGCTGGGGCTGGGGATGGCTGCAAATACAGATTATCATTAGCAGAGAGGTTTGACTGCACAATAAATGTAACGGCCTTGAATCATCCCGAAACTATCCCCCGCCAACCCTGGTCCATGGAAAAATTGTCTTCCACGGAACTGGTCCCTGGTGCCAAAAAGGTTGAGGACCGCTGCTTAAGATAATGGCCTCTAGTTCCATCCATGTTGCTGTAAAAGACAAGATTTCATTTATTTTTAAATGTCTGAATAGTATGCCATTTTGTATATATACCACATTTTCTTTATCCCTTCATCTGTTAATGGATATTTAGGTTGATTCTATATCTTTGCTCGTGTGAATAGTGCTATGATATATATACGAGTGTAGGTATCTTTTTGATTTATTGATTTCTGCAAAGTACATTTATTAACATTTATTACTATAACTCTGATAATTTCTCATAGCCAAAATAATGTCTTTTGGTTTTTACTATATTTTTAAACATTTTATTGGGGCCTATGAATTCCAATTACATATTTTATGTTTTTGAACACATGGATGCACTCCCAGGGAAAGGGCAGATTCCTTGCTATACCAATTATTGAACCTTTGTTGGCATGTTCTTTTTCTCCTTCACAATAACTTCTGGTTTAAGTCAAGAAGTTCCAGAATACAGAGATCACATCTTATTTTCACTTGTCTTTTACCCAGAATTTCCTAGAGAATTGGAAGCTTAACAAAAACTTTAAAGATTAGGGAGAATGTAATAATAACCACATGCAAATTACTTTCATAATAAACTCTCGCCTAAAAAAATCTTATTTTTTTCAAGCCTTTGCTCTTTTGCTAAGAGCCAATTCTCTTTTTTTGCACTTCTGAGCAATTAGCAGTAGAAATAGAATTAATATTATTACTTTGCATCAGTATTACTACCGTTATTGTTTAACCTTTATTGTGTGTTTATTATGGGCCAGCAAATGTGTATTTAATCTTTACAAGCCTATTGTTACATCCATTTTATTATTGAGGAAACAAGAGGGTTAATTAATTTGTCCAAGTCACACACATAGTGAATATTTGTTACTTTTTTCCACTATCTACGTGCTGTGTTTTTAGGATGTGTGCTAAATAAACCAAGCCAATCTTAAAGTTCTCAAAAGCAAAGACTGAGGCTTCTACTGTTTATATTTTGCCATTGAAAATCCAGTACAATTCTGATCCTGCAAGTGCCTGACAGGGAGAAAAAACAGCGAAGGAAGGATATCATCAGAGAAAGGTGGATAGTGAGGATTAGAACAAAAAAATGTGTGCTCAATTTTAAAGAAGAATTTATTCTCTTCAGTTTTGGTTGCATTTCTTGTAAATTCTCACTGATAATCAGAAGACTACATTTCTCCAAAACCTAAGCAAAAATTTCTCTTTAAGCTTTTTTCCAAGTCAATTCCAATCAAAATTCACAGTTCTGGAAAAACCATAATTGCCCTACTACTTAAGTATTTGAGGATTAGGAAGAATTAAATTTAGAATAATATTTTTAGCTTAACAAAATAATCTATCCTAGTTTCAATTACTTGAAAAAAAAAGTAAATACTTTTAAAAATAGCTTTTGGAAATAACTTTCATAATCTCATGGGTAAAACTTCAACTCTTTACTATAGAGGTTCTTTCCTCATTAATAGAGAAATCAGCCATAATTTGGGGATAATGGATAAACACATCAATTACTGAAAATCCCCAACCATTAGCTTTCAGTAAAGATAGACCATTCAAAGTTCACGGCAAAACTTCAGCTTAACATCTTTTTATCTTGTGTCCCTGGTCAAAGAACTACATTGAAATGCTGGGCGTGTATCAAATTTCCTGTAAAAATGTTAAAAAATGTTTATCTCATAAACTATTTTAGAGAACTTTCACATGATGGATGATGTATCATACCCCAAATTCATAACCTGACAAGTTCATGCTTGCATCTAGTAAATTCAGACAAAAAATTGAAGCACAATGACTGAACATTTTTTTCAAATGATATCATCAATAATATCCGCTCTAAAGATAGCTTTTCTTTAGGTTAACTTTAGAGGCCTTGAAGAATAAGAGCTTAACTCTTTATACAGGAGCTTTGGTTTTCACTGTTTTCCTTAGCTATATCTGGGATTCTGTATCTTTAAGAGTTAAACATTGAAGAATTGGCAAAGTGTGAACATGAAGAAATGCAACATCATTCTGCTTTTATTATATATCACAATATTATTAGTTTAAAAAAGTTATACATAATTATCTGTTAGTCACTTGCAGATTTTGGAACCATAGTCAGTGCTGCATATCCTTTTATACTTCTATTTTCTTCCTAGTATTCATAAGAATTCTTAAAAAACTTGCTTTCAGTTAAGAAATGAAATGTATTATATATTATGTGCATTACTTCTGAGGAAAAACATGAACTCTGGGGATTTTCAAACTTATATAAAAATGCTACATTGTAGCATATTTAAAGCAGAATAACAAATGCCAGACCTCACAAATATTAACTCCAGATTTACAGCATTTTAGATTTCTTGAAAATAAATAAATTTTTCAGTTATTAAACCATTTGGGGTCCAACAGATGAAAGCATGAGTTCTGACTGACATATTTACTGGTTTATTTGTGATTTACATATTTGCATGCTAAGTTTGACACAATTCTTAATCAAGTATGTTCTTGATATGCATATATTTCCTTTTTAAAATTTAAATTTGTTTGCTTTTCCTTTTTGTTTATATTCTCAACTATATTTTCAAAGTTTTATTTTGGGAAAAATTCAGACTATAAATATTTTCCGATTATAATTTTTGGGCCTCTAACTGTATTTTAACAGAGCTATTTACTTCTGTATTTATGAGGAGATTTTAGAAGTACAAATAGAAACCTTCACAAATTTTAAAAGGACATCTTCAGAGTCTGTAGCCAGTATTGCCATGCACACTCATCTCTTTCTTTTCAATGCCATGAATCATCATAAATGGCAGGCTCATTGTTGTGGCATGCTGAAATGATTGAGTGGGAACTGTGCCCAGCACTGAATTGTAAAACAATCCATCTCCAAACACTCTGCCCTGTACTGTATACACTGGCCTGACTGGATTTTCTTTGATGCTTTGGTGATTGCTCTTTTGTTTGGTCTTGGAGAATTCAAAGCTATGAAATTCAGAGCTAAAATTTGAACACAATATTAAGACTATTGCAATCTGTAGTGAATCTGTGCATGTTATCTAGAAGTCAACTGCTTTTGGGATTGCATTCTGCACCTTTTCTTCACTTCAGGCACGTAATCAGGATGTATAAGTGAACTTGTTGTGCTATATGTTTATTCTAGTTGATTAGGAGTCTCATTCTTTACCTACGTTCAAATGGGATTAAATTTGGTTTTCTCGGTAAAGGAAACAGCTTAGAACAAAACCATGAAAGTCTATTTTCCATTGTTCTGTCATCTCATTTGAAAAATGCAATACTGTTTTTTTCCTCCAATAAAAGGTAAATGTGTGTAAATGTGTGAGTTCCTAAGTGCGGGTTATGACAGCACAAAAGCAACACAGATGAAGGTGTTTGCCTAGGTTTATTACAATGACATTCTCAGAACATGGGAATGACAGATAATGCAGGCTTTCATAGGGAGCTAGAACATAGAACAGGCTTGATATACAGAGAAAAAGAGGGCACTAAACGGCATTTTTAAAGAAAATAGAAAAAAAGACAAAACTTAATGCTATTTGTCTTTTAATAACTCTTGAGATTCGTAGAATTTCCTCAATACCTGCTTAATTTCTGCAAGACAGGGGTTTCTAGAGGCGCTCTAAAGCATTTGCCGGGAGGTGGCGACATAAGCCCTTATTGCTTTGAGCTGTCCTAGGTGCTGAAGCCAGTTTCGGAGATTAAGAGCAGCTCAGCGGCTAGCGACCAGGGATTCCACGTTCTCCCTAGAGGTTTGCAGGCTCTGGCAAGAAATGCAAAAGACCAGACCTCATTTGCAACACGTAGGCAAAATTATTTCCTTCTCTGAATTCACTAGCCACGAAGCTATGGGAGGTGGTAGTGTTCCCTGAAATTAAAAGGACAGTGGTGACGGAAAAGAGTGTGTGTGTGTGTGTGTGTGTGTGTGTGTAGAATACATACCCAATTGAGTTTTGTTCTTCTCTTTAAGATGCAGCTGTTTACCCGTCCTTGTCCTTTTTCTTTGACACGTCCTTTAAAATTCCTTTCTTCCCCAATTCCCCAACGTTAACAAAAAAGTCACAGTCAACATCCTATCCAAGGGAGTCAGGCTGGACTGTTAGATAATGAACTGGATGGTTTAAGAGCAAAACAAAACAAAACAAAACAAACTAAGACACACTCCGTCTTCTTCCATCAATTAACAATAATTTACAGAGTGATCCGGGACTGTCCAGCTTCCCATTCAGGCTCCGTGTGCCTCCTTTTCTCATTTCCTATCCCCACTCTGTGATGCTCTGTTTAAGAATTTGATAGGTACAAGAGGCATTGGGTAGTTAGAAAACGTTCTCCCCACCCTCGGTTTGGCTGGGTGGGAGGCGGAGTTTATTTGTTAAAACGCTGGTCTGACCAGCGCGGATCGGGTGTGTGTAAGCGAGTTCTGAGCGTCTGTTGACAAAAGGGACTTAAACGCAAAGACGCTGAGCTAGAGGGAGAGGAGGGCGGGGACCCGGAGAAAAGAGGCACTCAGGGCTGGGGAAGTGTTAGGAGGGGAGAGTTAGAGTGGGAGAGAGGCAGCCTGGCTGTCTAAGCGACCCACAGAGGGATAAAGAAAGGGGAGTGAGGAGGAAGAGGGAGACTGAAACGGAAGGCTAGTAGGGAGAAGGGGGAAGGAGAAGACTGTAGAGAAAGAGAAGAGACAGGAGGAGAGGGGAAGAGAGAGGGAGGGAAGGAAACAGGGAGAAGGGGGTCACAGAGTGACCGTGGAGCATGGGGTTTCTCTATTCCAGATATTTCTGGGATTGGAGACTGTTTGCTAGTGGGGAGACTCCAGCTCCGGCAGACAGCTGGGCAGCGGCTAAGTAAAATGGACAGTGAGAGACAGACGTTCCAGCCTCCCCTCGGCCGCCCGGAGATCCCAGAGAGAGACAGACATTCCAGCCACCTCTCCACCGCCCAGAGATCCCCGAGCTGCTTTCAGGCCAACTCCAGTTTCCCAGCTGGTGCCTCCGAGCGCGCTGGACTGCGCGAGCCCAGGAAGCTCCTAAAATCTGCTCCTCGGAGATACCTTCGCCAGAGAAGTAAGAACTTCCTGCTTGAGTCCCTGCATCCCTCCCCCTGAAACTTCCCAGGAGAAGGGGCGGAAGACCCCAAAGGGAGGGGCGAGGGGGATCCTCGGGCAGCCTTTTCTTCCCTCCCCTACCCTCGCCGGGCGCGCAGGCATGGATGTGCTCAGCCCTGGCCAGGGCAACAACACCACCACTTCGTCCCAAGGTCCCCTTGGGACAGGCCGCAATGCCACTGGCATCTCCGACGTGACCTTCAGCTATCAAGTAATCACCTCTCTGCTGCTGGGGACGCTCATCTTCTGTGCGGTGCTTGGCAATGCGTGCGTGGTGGCCGCCATCGCCCTGGAGCGCTCCCTGCAGAACGTTGCCAACTATCTCATTGGCTCATTGGCGGTCACCGACCTCATGGTGTCGGTGCTGGTGCTGCCCATGGCCGCGCTGTACCAGGTGCTCAACAAGTGGACTCTGGGCCAGGTCACCTGCGACCTGTTTATCGCCCTCGACGTGCTGTGTTGCACCTCGTCCATCTTGCACCTGTGCGCCATAGCGCTGGACAGGTACTGGGCCATCACGGACCCCATCGACTACGTGAACAAGAGGACGCCCCGGCGCGCCGCTGCGCTCATCTCGCTCACTTGGCTCATTGGCTTTCTCATCTCCATCCCGCCCATGCTGGGCTGGCGCACCCCGGAAGACCGCTCGGACCCCGACGCCTGCACTATTAGCAAGGACCACGGCTACACTATCTACTCCACTTTCGGCGCTTTCTACATCCCTCTGCTACTCATGCTGGTTCTCTACGGGCGCATATTCCGAGCTGCGCGCTTCCGCATCCGAAAGACAGTCAAAAAGGTGAAGACCGGAGGAGCCGACACCCGCCTTGGAGCATCGCCGGCTCAGCAGCCCAAGAAGAGCGTGAATGGAGAGCCGGGGACCAGGGACTGGAGGCGGGGCGTGGAGAACAGGGCGGTGGGGGTTCCGTGCGCCAACGGCGCGGTAAGGCAGGGCGACGATGGCGCCGCCCTGGAGGTGATCGAAGTGCACCGGGTGGGCAACTCCAAAGAGCACCTGCCATTGCCCAGCGAGGCTGGTGCTGCCCCCTGCGCCCCCTCCTCCTTCGAGAGGAAAAATGAGCGCAACGCTGAGGCGAAGCGCAAGATGGCCTTGGCCCGCGAGAGGAAGACAGTGAAGACGCTGGGCATCATCATGGGTACCTTCATCCTCTGCTGGCTGCCCTTCTTCATCGTGGCCCTGGTCTTGCCTTTCTGCGAGAGCAGCTGCCACATGCCCACCCCGTTGGGCGCCATTATCAACTGGCTGGGCTACTCCAACTCTCTGCTCAACCCTGTCATTTACGCCTACTTCAACAAGGACTTTCAAAACGCATTTAAGAAGATTATTAAGTGTAAGTTCTGCCGCCGATGATGATGGAGGAATAGCCTGCAGGTGGAGGCTACAGGACCCGCCCGCCCCATTCACTCTGCCTCCCTCAGCCCTCTGGAATCAACACCTAGGATAACTTGCTACTTTTCCTCCGACTTTCTCAGCTGTTCCGCCCGCGGCTTCCAGACCTCCTCCCCACCCCACCCTCTGTGCCAGCGGATGGCGCTCGGCGCAAAGAGGCCCCTGCGGCGCGGCGGGAGGACCCGGAAACCCCCACGGTCTGTGAAAAATGACATTGGCTCAGACTTCTTGCTTCAGCATTAGTTTTGATCTCAGCAATGGAAAATTTAAGCCTCAGGCGTTCAAGGCAGAAAATCCGAACAGAAAAATAACCTGTGCACACAGCCGCCGCGCCCACTAAGGGCTTCCCCCTGACGGCCGTACTTCTAGAACTTGAACTTAAGATTTAGGATTTGCTCCATGTCTCCCGCCCTCTTGCCCTAGAAATGTTCACTTTTCTCTGGTTTTACCCGTTCTTTCCTTTCCCTGTTTCCCTCTCTGCTCTCGCCCGTCCCGATGCACTAGCCTGCTGGCTCGGGGAGAGGCGGGAGAGTGCTTTTCCTGTGCCATTGGCGCCCCGGAATCTCTGCCTCCCTGCATAGACTCTAAGAATAATTCTCTCGTGTACAACCCCTGCTTGCTTTGTTCTCTTGGACTCAAAACAAGTGTCTAGAAGGTGTCTCTTAGAGTGGACTTGTAAGTACAAGCCGGGACAGTGGGGGAGAGCGAGGAGGGTGTGCGGACCATTTGTCTGTGCTTGCCTTGGTGTCAGCACTCACCAAAGAAACTGACAATTACACAGTGGGGACAGCGGACTTCCCTTTGTGTAGGTTGCTGGGGAGTTGGCTCTTCCAGGAATCGCCACTTACCTACTGCGGGAGGCGCCCGCGGGACGCCGTGTGTGCGCTGGCGACGCAGAGAGTCCCGGGACCAGAGCGAGCCTCCAGCCTCAGTGCCCCGGAGGTGCGGTGCGTTCTGAGCGCCCGCGCAGATTGACCGCGTGCGGGTTCCTCTGCCTGCGCTCTGGGACTCGCTAAAGCGCGGCTAGACGAGTTACAGTTTGCCAAAGCCGGCGGCGCAAGGTCCTGGGGAACTGCGACCAGAGACACCAGGAAGGCTTTAAGGGGCAGCGAAGAGGAAAGGCTCCCAGGGCGCGCGGGCCTGGGCTCCAGCTGGCTCTCCGCATGGACCCTGAAAGAGCAATTTTATCCATAGGATGCAGACTTTTTCCTCCTTAGTCATAGTCTCCTCTTGGCCTTTTCGGATTGGGGAATAGCTCTGTTTAGCGCGTCTTAACACTGAACTGATTCGTTCTACATAGGACGTCCAGGACACGAGCAAAGTTAGCAGAACTTCGTTTTATAAATAGGAACTTTGGGCTTTCGTTAAATGGGTCCCCATAGGTTAGCAGTATTTTTGACCTCAGAGGCAGATGCCTTAAATAGTGGGGTCACAAAGCTATAGTGCTCCCCCTGGGGAGACTCTGAGAGTTTTGTACAGGAATATTTGCTCCCTATCCTGACCGTCCTGCTGCGCCGGGAGTCAACAGGCAAACTGATTTTTTTGCCCTTTGAATTTGCGGAGCACTCCAAGCTTTCTTTCCCTCAAAAGTTATTCTTTCAGCCTTGTCATTCCTGCCGAGAAAATGGTTATAATCTTTGCTGCCCCCAGAAAGGGAAGTTATTTCCGGTGCTCCGTTTGAATGTAACTTTCCCATTACATGATGGGGATGGAGAGGTTTGTCATAGTTAGACCTAGCCTCTAATTTTCTGATGAATAACGGTTTTGTTTCTCAGTAATTGCACAAAGTTATTGGTACTTACTCCCCTTTCCCTTCAACTGTATCTTTTCAATGTTTGCATCTGCTGTTTTGAGAACCGTGTTGCGTTTACAGATTGCAAATATTGCCAATGAAAAGTTCACTTACGTTTATAATTAACAAGGTGAAAGGACAGCTCTATCACTTGAAGCCATTTTATTGTTTGTCAGACTGAACAAAGCCTCCATTTGGTGTCCCTTTCTCTGGAAGTAGGCATATCCCATTTAGATAGAGAAACGTTAAGAACTTTGGGAATGGGTTGTCTATGCATATGGGAATGGGTTGTCTATGCATATGTAACACCGAGAAGGGTCTGCAGTGGAGAAAATGAGGTAGACCTCTCCAGGACGACTATTATTCGTTTGAAAATTCAATTTCGTTTTTGCTCACAATAGTCTAGGTAGAGCCATATGAGAAAACAAACTTTTCTCTATGTTTTACTAAAATTTTAGAACAAATTCTATATTTAAAATAATTCAAACCCCAAATTTGCTCATCTAATTATGCCTTGGCTAGCAAGTATTACATTAGAAGTTTTGAAACTTTTATTTGTTTGTGTCTTTTACAGAATTATATGACAATGACTTTTGGACATTTGTTTTTCCTGCTTTGGAGGATTTATACAAGAATGGAGAAGGAGGAGACAGTTGGAGTATAGTTGTCCAGGCAATAGAGAAATTAGAGAAATAAAAGAGTTGCATAGCTCTAAAGTGCACTGCTGCTTTTTTTTTCTTTTAAAGTATTTGTATTAAGGTAAAATATTTATGCTCAAAATTGGCCTTCATTTTTCCCTGTGACAATAAGGGACTTTAATAATGGTAATGCTACAATAAACTGATCTCAGTAACACATGTATCTTTATTTTAATCAAAAACTCTACTTGTATTTATTTGTGTAATTTTAAAATTAAAAATATACAGTTATCAAAAGGAGATTCTGTTATACAGGCCAGGGATCTGACACTTAGAAACATAAGTTTTGTTTTCAACACTAAAACTTATTCTAGATGAGTAATTTTTTTTTTTTTTCAAATTCTGTTTCCGGAAAGAGAAAGTTACATTTCATTATTTAGGCAGAAAATCGTGCATTTCCCTTGACTGACACCAGCAGGTAAGATATAGGTATCTGTCTAATTAATATGGAAAGGGTGGGAGATATGTGTAGGAGAAATTCAGCCTCTGGTAAAAGTGACAGGGGTCAATCCTGCCTTTTTTAAAGCAGCAGACATAGCTGAGACCCCTCCTTTGTCTTCCCCACAATATCCAGCTAGAAGAAAATGTCTTTCCCTGCTTTCAAAATAAGCAGCTCATTGTTTTGGAGTTTGTTACTCATTTAAAAGTAGAGGGGCATTTTCTTTTCTGGCTGGATATTCTTTGGTAGAGGTGTTCTGTATGTAAGACTTATTACTATATTAAAATTAATGCTTGTGGTCTTTTTCCCTTACTGGAATCATCAGAAACACCTCTCGTTTCTATTGTCATATTTTTCAATCCTACTGCTTTCTGGCGTTACAATGATGGCTGCAGGGCAAGGTGAGCCCAGGTAAACCCCAAGAGATCAGGGCTATAATGGCCACAGAAAAGAGCACTTTGAAGCTTCACAAAGCCCAATAATGAAAAGTAAAATCAAAGGAATTGACAGAACAAGGACTCTCTGAAGTTTCTCATTTGAAAAATGTTATAATGTATCCCTGACATTAAGTAAAATGCTGGATTTGGAACGTTTATCTTTTTGATTCTGTGTATCCTCCTTCTTGGCCCTTGTTCTCTCCTTCAGCATCTCTTCCTGAAAGGGACAATGGCTTTCTGTTTTCTACAGGCTTTCCTGTGGCCTCTATCAACATCTCAACTAGAGGGGGAATTGTTACTAGTCACTGCCAGTGTGACTAACAGGCCCCACTAACCCATTATCAGTGATCACATTGTCAGAGCCAATGTCTGATAATGTTGAAATGTGAGACTACAAATGAATACAAGATACTGTTGTCACCGTGAAGGAGTTTTCAACCTAATTGGGTATATAAGAATAAACTACTAAGTAACTATTCATGGCAGAATAAAGGTGTCATAAACAGGACAAATCACAGGAGTTTGGCTCTATAAGCGCCCAGAGAACAAAGATCACTGTGGGCTGCGGGTAGGTAGGGAAGAGTGGGTAGGGAATGCTGTCTAGAGCATATAAGATTGAGCTCTGGGCAAATGGAGGTGATATGAAAAGGCAGACGTTCTTTATGAGGTGACAAAAGACAGCCTGGTCCCTTCTTCTGCCAAGAGGGAGCATGGGTGGAACTTTCTGTCTGATTGTTAGATATTAATTAATAGCCAACATGGGTACATTATGGAGGTAGTGATCTTAGAGAAAGATGCAAACCCAAAATCTGTTATGTGTTTCAAGACCTGAAGCATCTGGGAAGAGAAAGAAAAGATGGGTTTAAAGCCAAAGGAATGGGGGTTGGGGTAACTAGATAAGAGGAAGAATATTTTGAGTAGAGTAAGAGGCAGAGTATAAGAATGAGGAGAGAATCATTAACCATTCAAGGGTTACAACAAAGTTGCCAGGGGTAGATACAAGACAAAATAATGCATACTTACATAATGTTTGCAATTTTGCCAAGTGATTTTCACACACAATATACCATTTAAATTTGAGACAGCAGATCCTTTTAAAAGTGCCAATTAGATCATTTTAGCAAAAGCAGAAGATTCACATAGTAGTGGTAAGTAAAGAAAAAGTGGTACACATAGAGATTATATGTAGAGGCAAAACAAGGTTAAAAAGCTGGAACTATAGTTTTAGCCAGTGGAGACCACCAATAATGAAAGCAGAAGTGTTTGGAGGTAATTTCATTGAGGCAGGTGTGAAACAATAAAGGTCTGAATTTGGGAGGCTGGCAGAGGAATGAAAAACAAGTAAGTCTATGAAGAATACATTAAAGAAGAAACTGGCAGGACTTGGTGTCTGGATGTGAAGAGAGAGGAATAGAGGATGCTGATGAGGTTTTGAGATAGGGACATTTGGGCAAATGGGGAGGGGGTTGTTTCTCCTTTGAGTCTTTCCCTTTGAAGCTTCATCTATAAATGTGAAAAGGCTTTGTCCTCTGCTAAAAGAATTCCCAGCCCAGATGGCAGGGGCCTGCTGGAAAGGGGGTTGATACATGTCACAGCATTTGAGTAATCTGCCATTTGGGTGAGTACGTGAGGAATGCTACTACACAGAGCAATGATTGAATCAATTCCCTGATTATTGTTACTTTTTTTTGTTACAACTTGTTAGTTGTTTTTTGAAGAGGGCTCAATTCTAAGAGAGAACAACCTTTCAGGAAGAGTAACTCAAAAATACCACATTAGGCAG